AGAGGAGGGGGAGGGGAAAGGAGAAAAGAAAAACAAAGATGGAGGGGGCAGAGGAGGGGGAGGGGAAAGGAGAAAAGAAAAACAAAGATAATATCAAGCTTATTTTCCTCAAAATCGCCTTGAAAATTTTATCTATAGGGCAACGAGGGGCAAATCATCGTCTCCGAGGCGGAGAACAGCAGATTTGGAACCTCTCTGCCTCTGATTTCCCTTCCCAAATAATTAAGAGGCAGTCTCGTTTTTTAAAAAACCAATAATAACGGCAATAATGATAAAAGCCATAATAGCAATAATTACAACAGGACAGCTTATAATAATTAATAAAACATTGCGGCGATACAGCGTGGATTCACAACAGATCGTGCCCCGGCATTTCAGGAGCAGGTATTTCCCACAAATAAAAAGAATAATTCACAAGCGAGCATTATTGAAATAATAATTCTGCCACAACCCAAAATCCTTCCTCTGGCTCTTAACAGAACCGAGATAAATACTGTCGCTGACATTACCGATCGCGTCCCAAGAAAACCCTGGAAAACCCAAACCCACTGCCATTTTGTTACCAGAAAACGCCGAAATAGGCTCCAAACAAACGGGTAGTTGACCCTTAGAGTTTTAGAAATGTTTCAAGGAGAGAGCACTGCCGTGGTCCCCCGCCTACGGGGAGAGCCGAACCCCAGGTGCCCGGCAGAACCCCGGGCTCGCCAGCGTGCGATTTGGGAGCGGAGCGGGCAGCGGCGGCCCGGCCGCCGGGGAAGCGGAGGAATGCGGCAGGCAGCCGGGGGAAGCGCCGCCGCCCCGACGGGCGAGCGGCACCGAAATGAGCCCGGGAGCTTCGGCACGGCTCTGCCGGCTTTCGAGACCGGGCAGAAAAGCCCACATGAACGTCTGGGGTAAAAGGAATGGCCTCCACGGAGGAGGATTCGAAGGAAAGAACATCGGTCCCGAATCAGGGAAACGAGAAAGCGAAAATGCTACGTTTGCAGGTGGCAAGGTGAAGGAATCGAAGCGGTAAGGTCCAAGCAAAGGCGTGCGCTCGAAGCAGACAAAAAAAAATAAATAAAAGGGGGGGGAGGGGGAGGGAAGAAAAGAAAAATAAAGAGTAGGGGAAAAAACGTAAACCACCGAATTTATAAAAATGGAGAAAAGGAAATAAAGCCCTCTCCAGAAAGCTGGGTGCGAAACCCCCACTGCCACCGCCGACAACAATAGCAACACCCAGCGCGCACCGAACCCCCTCCGAGAGAAACGTGAAGCAACTCACCATAGCCGAAAAACTGTGCACTAACATCTGCGAAGAGTCGGGGGTTACAAGCCAAGGTAGAAAAAATAACAAAAAGCCAGAGGAAAGGGACCGGCGAAGCGCGCAGCCCCCGGCGGAGCCCCGCGGGTGCGGGCGCGGAGCGGGCGCGGAGGGAGCGCGGCCGGAGCCCGGCGCTAGGCGCGGGCGGCAGGACCGGGGAGCCGGGGCTGCTCCTGCACCGCGGGCGCGCCACGATAATCCATCAGAACTTGCACCGATCTCTGCTGCCCTTCATCGGGTGTTCCCAAGGCGAGCTCTCTATCCTGGCGCGGTGTGAGGAGTCAAAGTTGGTTGCTTTTTTCTTTTCTCTTTTTTTTTTTTTTTTTTTTTTTTTTTTTTTTTTTTTTTTTTTTTTTTTTTTTTTTTTTTTTTTTTTTTTTTTTTTTTTTTTTTTTTTTTTTTTTTTT